TTTATCCTGGTTGCGGATGTCCTTTCAAATCTTCTCTCAAAAAGCCTTCGAGGTCGGCAAATTTCTGGATTCAAGATTGCAAGGCATTGCCCAACGCTGTCCCATCTATTATTTGCTGATGATGTGCTTCTATTCCTAAAGGCAGATATTTCTGAGTGTCAAAAAGTGTTGGATCTTTTGTCAACTTACTGTGTAGCATTAGGACAACTGATTAATTTTGACAAGTCTAGTGTTCGATTCTCCTCCAGCGTCTCCCCATCTTTATGTAGCTCCATTTGCACTCTCTCGGGGCTTCAGGTTTCACTTCCAAATGCAAAGTACTTGGGCCTGCCCTTATTTTGGGAGAGGTCAAAAGCGGAGGCCTATGAGTTCCTCATTGAAAAAGTGGTGTCAAAACTTCAGGGTTGGAAGATGAAATTGCTCTCGCAAGCTGCAAGGGAAACACTGATCAAGGCAGTGGTTCAGGTAATACCCTCGTATGCAATGGCTTGTTTTGCTTTCCCTAAAAATTTCTGTGCTAAATTGAATTCCTACATCCGGGGATTTTGGTGGGGAAGGGATATGGATGGTAAAGGAATTCATTGGGTAGGTTGGGAGAAACTAGTGCTATCAAAATTCCAAGGCAGATTGGGATTTAGAGATTTCAATATGTTCAATTTGGCTTTGCTAGCAAGACAATGGTGAAGGTTACTTAAATATCCGCAGTCTTTCAGTGCCCGCATTTTGAAAGGCATTTATTTCCCCCATTCTAGCTTTATGTATGAATCTAAGGACTGCCGAGCTTCATGGGCATGGGAAAGTATTCTCCAAGGATGGGAACTTCTCAAACAGGGTGTCAGGTGGCAAGCTCATAATGGGTCTTCGATTCGCTTTTGGGTTGATAAATGGGTTCCATCTCTCCCTGATTTTAAAATATCCTCTTCAAAACCTGTGGATTATGAAATTGAGAAAGTGGAGGATGTTATTGATACAACTACAAAGAGGTGGTATCTGGCTGCCCTTCGTTCTCTTGTGTCGAATTCTGAGCTCCAAGCTATATCCTCTATTCCCACTGCATTGGCCTCCATGGCAGATTCTCAAGTATGGCACTATGATTCTAAAGGTGTGTATTCGATTAACTCGGGTTGTCACATTGCCAGATCCGTCTTCAATAATAGTTTGGTCCAGAAACCATCATCTTCTTTTCAACCTCCTAGTAAGTTTTGGAAACTCATTTGGGCTCTCAAAGTCCCATTGAAAATTTTCCATTTCTGGTGGCGTGTTTGCAACAATGCTTTAGCATCTCGGGAGAACCTGTTGAAACGGAAATGTGCTTACTCAGATCAGTGTCCTATTTGTCATTCTGGGCCCAAATCGGTTGAACATTTATTGTTTGGTTGTGATTGGGTTCGTCCAATATGGTTTGGGAGTACTCTCAATTATAGAGTCAAATGGGATTCCATTCACTCAATTTTAGAATGGTCGAGTGCCTTGATAGAACAGTTTCAGACTACTGCTGATGGTGCTAGCTTCTTCAGCCAAGTTGCTTGGACTGGTTGGTTTATTTGGAAATGAAGGAATGAATTTATTTTTAACAACCAGCCAATTGATCCTCTCTCAGTCTTACATCGTGCTCGAAAGACCAGTGCAGATGATGAATCAACCTCTGATATGGGTGTTTCTTTACGCCTACAGGTTCCTGCTGCTGCCAATTTCTCTACTATGTATTGGGTTTCACTGCTCTCGGGTCAATTCAAAATTAACTGCGATGTGGCTGTGCAAACGGGCTCTTCTCAAGCAGTGGCTGCTGCTATCCTTCAGAATTCTACAAGTCAGATGTTAGATGGGTTGACTCAGAAGTGGTGCATTTCTTCCTCCCTCCAAGGTGAAGCTCTTGCCTGTCAGTTGGTTCAAGCTTATCATCCTGCGATAGTCGAGGTGGAAGGTGATAATAAACAAGTCATTCATTTGTGTGTTTCTGAGGACATTCCCCCTTGGAAATGTGAAGCTATTGTTCATGACATCAAGCAACTAGCTGATCAAAGCACCCTCTCTTTTCATTGGTGTTCGAGAACAACAAATGGTGTTATCCACTGGGTGGCCCAGGCCTCTCTACATGGCAAGCTTCCTATTGATTGGGTCTCCCACCCTCCGTCTGCTCTTCGTTCTTTAGTTCGGACTATTTAGCTTTCTTGTTTAGTTTGTTGGTTTGCTTGCTTATCTCATTTCTCTGTTCAAAAAATAAAAAATAAAAAAGTGAATAGATAAAATTTGCACATATAAAACTAAAATATTAAAATAATTTGGACAGATAAGAAAAAATTAAGACATATGTCAACAATTAAATTTTTTAACAAATATGTTCTACATAAATTTTTTTAATAAATAGGTGTTAATTTCGACATATAAGAAAAAAAAATTAAGACATTTCAACGGATAGATTTTTTCAACAGATAGGTTAATAATTTTGACATATAGATATGTTAATAATTTTGATAGATATGTATTAAAAAATTAAACAGATAAAAAAAAATTTGAACAGATAGGTTAAAATAAAAGACAAAATTAAAAACAAAATGTCTTCCAAAACAACAAAATGTACTTGTTACCACAATATTTCACAAAATATGTACTTCTCACTAAGAAAAATTACCCATTGCATCTAATGCCTTGAGCAATATTGAAATTTGATTTATTACCATTTTTTTTTGTTTTTTTGTTTTTATTTTAATTTTATTTTGTACAAACAATATTACTTCTACATTAGTTGAATATTGGTTACAAAACCTCCTACAAATTTGGTTAGAGCATTTTCAACACTTTATCAAAATTTTCATTAAATTTGAGTAAAAATTTAATGAAAAGTTTCATATGATATGATGCACTCCAATGGTTTCATCAAATCTAGGTGATTGTCTGGCTAATCGTTCGGTCTAAAGTAAATTTTCATCAAATTCATCACAAACCAATTGTCTGGGAGGATGTCTGGGCGGATGTCTTACCTAACGGTTACCTACAAATATGATGAGATGATAAAACTCTATTAATTTGATGAAAAAAGTAACTCTCTCTCTATATTTAGACCTCGTTTGGGAACAGTTTTTTTTTTAATAACTTTTTGGTTTTTTACCTAAAATATGATGTTAAAAAAACTAGTATGTTTGGGATGATTTTTTAGTTTTTTTTTCCGAAAAGATGTGCAAAAAGAATAAATAAAATGGAGTCTTCGACTTTTTAGTATAGGTTGTTAGCTTTTTGATTTTTTTAGTGACTTTTTGACTTTTTAGCTAAAAAAATCACTTGTCAAACGAGGCCTTAATATCAGTTTGATGAAAGGATTGGAACTCATGTTTTAAATATTTTTTTATCAAATTTAAATTTGATAGCAGATTTAATAAAAGATTGAAGATGACTTAGAGCATCTCCAACAGTGAACTATTTTTTTCATCAAATTTGATGAAAAAAAGGCTATTTCTTCAATTTGATATGAGTTACTCTAATGGTGAACACTGTTACTTGCATCAAATGCCTGGAGACATCCAGTGGGATGACCGGTTGGTCAATCGATTACGCCATTGAATTTTTTCCCCCCTCCATTTCTGTTCTAATTTTGTTTCCCTTCAAGAGCTTCCCTGAGCTTGCGCTCTTGCAATTTACTTAGAAAATGATGGGCTTCTCTTGATTTCTTCTGTCGAATGGTTAGACCCATCTCTTTTCCTGGTCTTCTTGTCCATGATCAGAGCAGCACAGTGAGAAATTGGCTTCCATAGTGAAAGATACATTGAAAGACCCATCTATTCTTCTGCTTTTCTCAATTCTCACTGATCTTTAACCAGATCGAATAGAAACCCTAGATTTGACTACCTTGAAAATCCAGTAACTGAGGATTCAAGCCAGATTAAGACAACAAATTTGGAACCCAAAAATGTGGGAAGAAAAAAAGTAAAAAAAATTGAAGTATCTGAGAGTAGTCAAGCCCATTTAATGGATTTTAATGGCAAAGCTCGTGACGAGGTCCAAATACAACCACCAAGTGCGGAATTGTGAACTGAAAAATTGGCTTCGTCAACACTTGAAGATGCACAACAATCAATTGAGAAAACAGAGGTTCACCCATCTCATCGTATCAATTCTGTAGTTGAACAAGATTTCATTTTCAAGCTTGAGGGGTCATCTGAGGGGTTGACCTCCTAGTGTAAAATCTGTACAAAATTTTGCGAAAGGTGGTCATCTGGTAGTGAAAATACAACGGTAACGAATAGTGTTTTGGTGAAAGACCCACAACATCTTCAGTTTGGTGAAAAATTTGAGTCATTCTCAATTTGATATCGTTTTGATGAAACTATTGGTGACAAAAAAACCATCATTTTTTACGAAATTCAAATTTGGTGATGAATCTGATGAACCATTGGAGATGGTCTTAGAGCATTTTCGGCGGTATATCAAAAATTTCATCAAATTTAAGTAAAAGTTTAATTTGATATCAAGTGTTTTAACAGAGGTTTTTGAGTCATCATTAGAACACCAATCAACCAGGCAGATGTCCGGCCAGTGTAAATTTTTCGTAAATTTTTGCCTTGAGGTGGTCATCCGGAAGGTCGATCAGGGCAAACGACTGAGGGGTCGATCGATTAGTATAATATTTTCATAAATTTTTGCCTTGAGATGGTCATTTGGGGGTGAAAATCAAATGACTATGAATAGTGATTTGATAAAAGACACAGTAATTCTCAATTTGATGAAAAAAAAGTGAAATTCTAAATTTAATACTTATTTAATGAAACTGTTCAAACAAAAAAAGAAGTAATTTTTACTAAATTTAAATTTAATGATAAATTTAAATATCCATCAAAAATGGTCTGATAAGTGAACATTAACAAATGACATGCCATTTTTTTCCCCCTTAAAAATAACAAATAAAACATTACTACTAGAAAACAACGAAAATCCTGTCTCCTCGCAGGCTTCGCAAGCAAAAACACCTGCTCTCACTTGTGCCATCACACAACAAAACAAAAACACTGTACGAAAAAAAAAAAATCAAAAAAAATTACACAAAACCACATGTCCTTCACATCCGAAACAAAACAAGCTCACAGATGATTAAAACAAAACAGCACAACTTCTTCTCTCTCTAGGGTTTGAGCAAAAAAACAAAAACAATAAAGGAGAGAGAAAGAGGTTTCCCTTTACTTCATTCTATACTATACTATATATGTAGATATATTTTGTGACTGTATAGTCTTACATACATATATTTGTATGCATTGTTAGGGTTATGGAGGTCATTGCCGAGTCGGATAAGGATCAGCTTCGCGTGAAGAAGGAGGCCTTGGAGGCTGTGCTCCTGCAGTGCCAGAGAGCTCTCGAATTGCTCACTAACACCGGCTTTGTCGACGACGCCGACACCGATGCTGCGGCGGCGGACGACGGCGATGGTTCGTCGTCGCCGTGTCGGGATAAGGAGACCGATGAGGTGAGTGAATTTTGGGGGAATTCAAGTGGTTTAATTGTCTTTGTTAGGATTTTGATTCAATTGGAATTTTTGTATTTAATAATGTTACATTGTCCTATAGCAGAAATAAATTCTGCTTTTGAGTGATTCGCTTTTTGTACTTTTGGGACCAAATATTCTTGTGTTGTTGTACACTGACTAAATCAATTACATTTATAGTTAAAAAAATGTTTTTTTTTTTTTTTTTTTTTGTGTACGTGTGTGTTTTTTTTTTTGTGTACGTATGTGTGTGTGAATAAGTAATCTAAGGCTTCAAATTTTAATATGATATGTTTTGGACCCACTACATATAAATGAGGGAAAGATTTTTCGTTCAATTCTGGTCCTATAATCATATAATGGTATGTGTTTTGTCTTTCTTTAGTAAGACATATAATTATCATGCTCCAGCTCGTAATTCAATGTATATTGTCTCTGTGTGAGAGCGGATTTCACACTGTTGAATGAATTGGAGCTCCGGGACCAAGCTGGACTTTCCAGGAACCGAGACCTGGAAGAGAAGAGAACTGGTCAGAGCTGCTCGACTGGCAGGGACGGAACTAAAATTTTTACTTTGGAGGGGCTAAGATACGAATAAAATTTTTCTTTTATATATCAATTGTTATGTACTGTTTGTTATATTTCAATACAAGAATGAGAAATAACTAAGATTTGATACTAAGGCCTGGTTTGGTAAGCCTAAATAAATTCACACTTTTTATCTTTTTATTTTTTTTAGGTCACATCAATCAATATCTTCTCTCTACTTTTTTACACATCTTTTTATAAAAAGTTAAAAAGTGCACTTATTTAGAACATCCCAAACAACCCTTAAAATAATACATAAAAAAATATTTTGTATTTAGTCTTAACATGATCACAAGCAAAGTCGTATATATTCAACTTAAACATATAAATAAAAGAGAAATCAAAGTTAATGGATTTTTTATATATGCCAACTCAATTATCTATTAAAGTGAAAATCACTACATTTTTTTGCGGGTTTGAATTTCAAAATTTTTCAATGGGTCTCATATGAATCTCATTAATATGGTATTTTCATTATGAGTATGTTTCTCATCAAGTGATAAACAAAATGTGATCAAAGAAATATAATTAATGTATTATTGCTGTTAAATTATGCTTGTATTAAATAAATTAAAAAAAAAATTAGAGGTCTATTTTTTTTGGTGTTCCAATACTTTCATACATAGAAACTTGTTTTGTTAAGAAATATGAAGTTTTCAATATTCATTCATAAGGTAAGCAAGGGCCATTTGTAATAACAAGACAGTTTTGGGCAACATAGCATATCATCACAGTAGCATTGTTTGCTTTGGACAGGGTGGCCATGGTCCCTCACTATCTCCTAATAGTTCCATCCCTGCCGGCCGGTGTTGGCTGGAGAACCCCTCCGATGTTGAAGTCAGGAACTTATGAAGGAAAAGAGAAGAATATATATATGTGTGTGTGTGTGTGTACAGAGAGAGAGAGAGAGAGAGAGTAGTTGCAGAGAGTGCAATTCAATTTGGAGTCTGACATGTTCACTATATTAAACTAGAACATTCATTTTGTGTTCTTTGAAGAGTGTGCAAGGTGCATTGATCATCCTTGAGGTCTAGCTATCTAATCCAACTATTTATTTCGGAACATACTAGGCAAATATAAATGCACTCGAACAAATATCAATGACTCTGTTAGAAGACGGTAGTTGCTTCATTTTGTTAACTTAATGTGCCCCATGTTCCCTTTTCTTGCAGTTGTGCCACCTCCTTAAATCTAGAGTTGAATGCCCTGATTTCCTAAAAAAGCTCGAGAGTGCCCAGGCTTTGGTTCCACAAAATGTGGCTGGTATGCATCTAAAGGCTGTTGCTTTGAGAATTTTATAGTTTATGAAATTCTTTTGACTTGAAAAAAAGGTGATGTGTACCGTATGGTATGGCAAAAACTACAAGTCTTTGTATTTGAAAACTGCCACTCTTCATATTCAAAAGTTAAATTTTGGACAAGCATAGTCTTTGGTATAATTGTGGATGTTAATTATCTTTTGTGTTGCTAACATTCCTTTTTACCTTCAAAATGACCTTATGCTTTTGTAATAGTTAACATAATCAATGTGTGATGGCAGAAGAAGGGAGTTCTTGGGACATGGTCAGTGAAAATGATCTATGGGAAGGTGGTAGTTCCGTGATGGACCAAGAGGACTATGTTTTAGTTAGGCAAGAAGATATAGCAGAGGGTATTGCATGTTTCATGGCCGCATATCTGTTATCCCTTAAACAGACCAAGGTTGGTGAAAAACTGAAAATTATCATTATTGGTTGAAAGAGAAATGGTTAAGTATCTTACATTTATTAATGTATCTGTGCTAACCAAAATTACTGTCTAAAAGTTGACAGTTCTCTTGCCTTAATTTTTTTTTTGTTTGTATTTATCTTATGCCATCTTATAGTTGATTAGATAAATTGATTTAGGCTGTGTTCAGCTGTTGTGATGTCAGTTTGTTGAGCATAACCTGAGTAGAGCAGAAGTAGAAACTTCAGGCTCAAGTCATCTTCATTAGATACTGATTGCCCTCGTGTAAATCGCTCTTGCCCCTGGTTCTCAACCAATTAAAGGGATACTCATACTGCACATCCTACTATCCTAGGGCTTGCCTGCCATACTAATGCTTGCCAGTGTATGAAAATGTGCTACAAGTGCATTATGAGCTATACTGTTATTTGTACTATCTTTTGCCATTCAACAGGTACTAGGGTTGTGCAATTACACAGGGCATATTAAGGATATGTATTTAGGCCTCATTTGGGAACAAGCTAATTTAATAACTTTTTGGCTATTTGGCTAAAATATGAGATAAAAAAAACTAGTATGTTTATGATGACTTTTTGATTTTTTACGAAAAGATGTGCAAAAAGTAGAGAGAAAAGAGAATTTTTGACTTTTTGGTATGGGTTGTTGGCTTTTTGATTTTTTTAGTAATTTTTTGGCTAAACCAGCCTATTGCCAAACGAGGCCTAGTCTGGTTCTTGCATTGGTGGTATTAGTGGTTCCAGATCAGTGCCATTGTTCAATCTTTTTAAAAGCGATCCATCTGGTATTCTGAAAGGAAGTTTCTGTGAAAATTATTTTCTATATTTGGAGAATTTGATATTTGGATTGATATGTCGCTTTTTGCAGGATTTCACCCCTAATCAACTCCAGGACGGTGAGTTTGATTGCTTCTTATGTATAGTCACAAAAATGTAAAAATAAAAAAAAGTATATCTAAGTGGCATCTACAATTTATGACCTCTATTGGGTTTGGCTGTTGGAATTTGGGAGGGAAAAATCTGATATTGTGACTTTTCTTCCAGCCCTGTGCAAGACATTCTCTGTGAAAAAGAAAAAGGGTAAGCTTCGGAAGGCATGGGATGGAAGCAAAGTCATCTATAATGTAGCATCTTGGGGAGCGACAGCCATTGGGTAGGTTATTTGAATTGATTGGCTTATAATGGTTTGATATTTATTCTACTGTTATCTAGTCTTACCTGTTTGATTTCAGCGTGTACAATATATATATTGACTCATTGCTTGACTGTATTGCTATTTAATTTGGTGCTTTGTCTGTTTATCTTCAAAAAGCTTGAGCTTAAGTATATTTCAGGACTGAATTGAGTAACAAGTCTAACCTTGACCCAACTTGCTGTTGGTAATTAGAGGTGTCTCATAATGGAAAAGGTGCTAAGCTGCTAAATACAAGGTTCGATAGAACACATACCTGAAACTGTACTTATCCTCGTCCAACAAAAGCTTGTTCATGTGTTAATTTTTGCTTTTTTACGGGTTTCAGTCCGTTGGTTGAGATGCTGGCTCGTAGACCTTAGAAAATGGTTCATTATTGACCTACCAAAACCGTAGGAAATATTGCTGCTGTGGTTTTCCTTTCACTAGGTAATATTCTCAATGCAATCCAAATCTTGAACTCCTACCTGGAGCTGATGTTTGATGCATGCTGGTGTGAAATAGCCAACAAACTACACAATGCATCTTAGCTTCACCTAAGCATTGTCATTATTGACCGGTGTTATCATTCATGTTGAGGAAAATAACGAAGAATGGAGTAAAAGTAAAGAGGCAAAACCCAAAGCCCATTGAATATGACCATGTGCAGGTGTACCTGCAGCTAATAGCACCTAAGAGATAGGAAGCTTCTAGAAGCAGGTTCTAGATGCTTCACTAGAGTCTGCCTTATCATCTATTATGTATGCTTGTATGTTTTTCACAAAAAATTTCCCAGATGTTTGATACCAGACGGTTTGAGGTTTCTGGTCAGTATGTGAGGTTCTGATTTTAGTCTCTATTGTGTTGTCTAAACAGGATTTACCAAAACCCCACGCTCCTTAGTGCCGCCTCAACAGCCTTTTGGACTTCGTGTCAAGTTATCTCGAAGCTTTTCTAACTTGCTTGTTGAAGTTCTGATGCTTGGGGACTCTTCAGTGTTGTATTTGTGTTTGGCATGGTGTTCCATATAATTTTGTAACCTAATTACCATTCTTATTGTGCTACGGCTCCATTGATTGCTCTGTCATAATTCAAGCTTGTAAATATTCGTCAATTTTTTTTCTTGGTCTGGAAATATTCTTCAGTTAAAGCATTTCTATGTGCAGTTACAGATCCAGTTGGATCATCTTAGTGCAATGATTTTAATTGTGCTTCTTCTTTTTATTTATTTGTTACCAAATCCATGTTTTTTCGAACATATTTTCCAAAGTCAAATAGTTTTGAAGTTATTACTCAATCTCATCTTGTTTTGCGAAACACGAAACATGACCTTAATTTTTATGATAAATAAATTATTTGTAGTCGTGTATCCAAAATATGAATTTATTGAAGTTGTGGGTTGAAGTCATGTATTTGATGTACGACTTCATCAGATGACATGCCTTTGGGATTTTGCTTAAAAAGGCGTTTGGACAGTGGTGGATCTAGCACGTGCCCAGGATGGCCCATGACCCTTCAACTTCTTGAAAATGACCCCTCTAGAAATTATATGTACACCCCTTAAAGTTTTTGTAACACTTATTTTTTCTCCATTTTTCAAAGAAACCCTATAGTTAACCTTCTTCTATATTTTTTTTACTATAAAATCTCTTTATACGTCACAGATTGACTGGAGTTAAGCAGGCAGATCGGATTCTGGTCAGATGTGTAATAAGAATCTGAACAGATTATAAACAATCTGAACATGAATCCGAATATGATAAATCTAATAAGCCATCACCTGAATTCGAATTAGATTTATCTGGGGTTGTGTGCTGACACAATCTTTGCCTCTGTTCTTGAGTTTAAGTGTATTTTATCACTCTGTATTAGAGACCGTACAGGACATTGTTTTTGACAAGTCTGGCAACAGTGGTAGAAGTTAGCGTTCATTCTTCTGTTGCAGACTCAAATTGCAAGAAATAACAATCGCTATTATCCAACTGCAGCAAACTTGGGCAGATATGTTAAAATTCCTCCCTCCCCTTCCTACTCTCTGCATAATCTAGCAATCTTGTCTTCTCAAATATCTCATGGTTCGGTAACCTGAGTGTATTTTTTACAGGAATGATCAAACAACACAGAGAAGGCAAAGCTGCTAATTCTGCATATGGTGGTTATATAGGAAATATAAAGATGAAATTATAACTATTCTATATTTTTTAAAACACATAATTAAAACCATCCGAGGAGGGTGGATAGGCAACCTAGAAAAGCCAAGACGCTTCCCTGCTATATAAAATTGGCATAACCTATGCTTTTTCAGCTTTGCCAACAAGCTCTCTTATCTCTCGTTCTCTCTCTCTCTCTTATGTACCTATGGCTTCTTCTCACTCTTGTCTATATACAAAATTAAGTTTAATAGAAGTATGTGTTGCTCTTGTGACTCGGAGCATCTCTGCAAAGCATTGACCGAACTTCAATGATAGTTTTTGGAGGCTCCAAGTCCTTCTCTTGAAGGGCATTCCCCAGCAGCTGCTGCATCTGTGATGCAAAAGTGTCATCCAGAATCTGCAAGTTACATAATGGCGCACATCATAAAGGGCGGGAAATTTGGAGCAAACTGAGAGCAGAAGGGAAAAGAAGAAACCAATTTTTACCTACTACAATGACAAAAATACAAGGAATAGAATGCATTGTCATGAATATGGCCTAATCGTTCAACTTATCGCATGTTTTATGGGTAATGAAAAGCAGCCATCATTGATAAGCGACCAACATGCCAAGTTTGGTTTTGGTTACAATCCATTACTTAGTGTAGTGATTTGGAGCTGTGCACCTTAGTGAGCTCCACCTCGAATTCACCTAGGGATGTGGGGTCTACCTCGAATCTACCTCAACGATCTGAAACGTTCATATTGTACGGTACATTGAAAATATCATCCATGTAAAAAATAAGTTGATCGGATATCGATAATGACATGATCAAATCAAATTTATCTAAAAAAATATGTGACACCAAATTTGATTTTAAGAACAATTGTCCGTATTTTTTAAAACAAAAAATAATCCAATTATGTGGCTACTAATATCCGTTCAACCTAATTTTTTATATAAATAATATTTTGGATGAGCCTTACAATATGCACAGATCAGATCGTTGAGATGAGTTTGAGGTGGCCCCCACTATTGGGCACAGCAACCCCCATCCAAGTGATCAATTTTCACAATAACATAATGAATCAGATAGTCCTAAACGATGCACACTCTCGATATATTTGTTGAAGCAAATAGTAAGTGGGTAATATCACCCAAGTATGCTGCTTCTGTATGTTGTGACTGAAATTACTTCTTGTCTTTTTACTATCAGCTAAAGAGTTTGGGCTTCACAAGTTCCTGTACTTACAGAGATGGCAATTCTTGAACCTTTGTACCACGACCTGTTCTCTTTCCTGTTCTCCAAGAAGCTCAGAACATCCTGTGACAACATAAGAACAATTTAAGACAAAAAACTATTAAACTGGAGTGCATTAGTCAATAATGTACAGAGAGGAATTTACTAACCTGTCCCATCCGATCCCAATAGCCCCGACATATCGAAATGAAAACATGGCTCTCAAAGATAGTATGGAGATGATTCATTGTACATGTCAGCTGGTCCTTCAGTGTTTGCATTCGACTTCTTACATCCGATTCTCCCACAGTTTCTTTCGAATCTTGTAGAATCTTCTTCAGCTTTGTAGCATTCTGTAACCTTGACTGCAACAAAAAAGGTAACCAACAAAACATATATAAAAAAAAAGCCTATTGACTATTGTTTTGCAAATCCATATCAGATTGCGAAACTAGAAACATCTATACAATTTCTGAAAGATCATTCACTCAATTTTTGTTTCCAGAACTATTGATCTTTCTTCATTGCATTTTCTGGGGGGGGAGCTAACATTTTTTTTCTCAAAAATACTTTTGGGAACGCAGGCCTCAAGCCCAAGTGGTCACCCTTTGGTTTCCCAAGTTACAAGGGGGATTCAAACCCCACCAAGTCAGGTTCTTTAGAAATACATATCTACATCTGGCTATAAATTTGTACGTAGAAAATAATATCGTTGTGTGGTTCTTTCAATAAATAAAAAAAGACAGAAAACCGGGTAATAAAATAACTTCTATGATATCACAACTTACAAATGGAGAAGTCAAAGTTAGAAGGGATTTATGTTTGGATTATGGATTTAGGTAGGGATTTGGAAAGAGAAAGGAAATGGCAAAAATCTAACTTTTTTTTAATCCACATTTCCTTACCAAATCCCTATCCAAATTCATGATCCAACCACAGCTTTAAGGATATGCGTTTAATTTCGAGAATGATACTCACATTTTCTGCTAGCTTCTCCACAACTGCTTGCAGGTAATTCCTGAACTTTGTTCTAAGCATCACAGTTACTTCACTGAGGCGCTCTCCAGGGGCTGTGCTTCCCCTATCAGGGATGCAAGAACCCCATGACTTCAACTGATGTTCTATCTTGGGCTGCAATATGTCAAGCATCCTCTTCATGGAATTCAAAAGAATTCCAAGCTGAATGCAAAACCATATTTCAGCCGAAACCCAAAAGAATACCAATACTAAAAGGGCAAAAAATGAATACTTGACAAGTAAAGCTCACCTCATCCGGGACCACGTAGGGGCACACAGATCGTTTTGTGAGCTTCTGTACATATTTGAGACCAAATTTCTTGGGTGTCAAATTTTCCTTCAATGGCGACAAGACATCCGCATACTGCTTGTCCAGGGCCTCCACAACTGCCTTCTCTATGTCAGCAATGGCCTTTTTGTAGAAACAAGGTCCGAAAACATAAATTTCAAGTTATAATCCATGTAACATTATACGTGGATAAAAAAAGAAAAAAAGAAAGAAGGGTTAATTACACATTACGCCCTCAACTTTAAAATCATACATTTAGACCTCTCAACTATCAAAATTGCTTCACTTTCACCCCCTCTGGAAGCATTTTTGTACCGTTTTTGATAGTTGAGGGGTCTAAATGTGCAGTTTTAAAGTTGAGGGGGGTTAAGATGATATTTAGCAATAGTTGAAGGTGGTAAAGTGCAATCAACCCACAATATATATATATGTATATATATACAAGAGCCCATCATCTAGATGACAAATTAAATCATATATCCTCTTTCTTTTTCATTTCCTATTCTTTTTGCAGTCATCATGAATATATATCATGAAAGGACACAATAGTATTTTGGGGCAGTTCAATTGCACCCATTAGAAACAAGGATAGCACCTTGCTCCATTCCTCGATCATTCGACCTCTATTTTGGAACCCAACCTCAACTCCTACTAAACAAGGATCTTCTAGTTTCGACACTAATTACAAAGCAGGTAAGATTGATCACTGTAATAGAATGGATGGCCGGTACTTGGCATATGTTTTACAAATACCTATGAAGCACGGACACTTCAAAATAGGTGTCGTGGCGGTGTCAGACACAGGGACACACCGGGGGGCACGTATGGGACAATTTTATTTTTATTTTTTTGAAGGGGACATGGCAGGACACCCTCCCTTTAATTATTATTATTATTTTTTTTTTGGACCAAAGATTAAGTGTGTACCCAATCTTTCCCCTCTCAAACACACATTATTATACACCAATTGAGCGTTATTTTTATTTATTTATTTTTTTTGCATGGGACACGCCGGGGACACACATGTTCAAATATGGATGATTTATTAATTTATTTAAATGTAGTGATTTTTTTATATATATTGAATTAATGTTAGTGTTTATTAATTTTGATTATTTGATAACATAATATTAATCTACATAACAAATATATATAATAAAAATAATAATAATTTGCCGTGTCCCCCGCCGTGTCCGTGTCCCCCATTTTTTGAAATCACCGTGTCTTGTGTCTGTGTCCGTGTCCATGTTTATGCTTCATAGACAAATACCCACAGAACATAGAGGAAAAAAACTAAGAAAATAAGGTTGAGGGGTGAAGAAGGCAGCATGAACATACATTCTCCAAAACAAAAGTGTATTCTGGCCAGCGACAGATGATGACTTCATAATCGTTCAATGTTTCTTTCAGGCGTTCATACATCTCATCAACAAAAGGTGTTGTCGAGTGTTGTGTCCTGATTCCGGACCATTTCACCTGCAAGTATAAATTCCTTCAAGCATCAGGGCAATAAACCACAAACAAGGATAAACCAAACCAAACTAAGCCTTGTATCCAAATCAAGTATGGGTCAACTACATGAATCATTTTTTGCTATTCTGCTCTATCAAGAGCTATAAGCTCAGTTAAATTAAATAAATTCATCTTTTTTCACTAAAACCACAAACCAGGATATGCAACATTTTATAAGTTGTAGAACATTCCAAAAATTTTATCCATAACATAGTACAATCTATAAAATAAAAAATAAAAAAAGAAGGGAAAAGTACCCATCAATCTTACTTTTGCATTGTTAGTAAGTACAACATTTTTTTAAAACAATAGAGTCCTATTTTAAGTTTCATAAGTTCTATATTTTCTATCATTCTTCTTTTGCCCTTTTCACACTTCAATTACCAAGTTTTCATCATTTAAAACTACTCAAATTTCATCTAGAATTTACAGCACATTTGAGAAATAGGGTTGAATAAATGATTTTAACAAATTATGACATCTTAGTTTTTATTTTCAAGGTGAAAATATAAAATATAACTGATAGTCATTCAAATTTTTGAAAACTAAACAAATATTGGAACACTGATATGGTAAGTTTTTTTTCTCATGAATTTTTGTGCGTGCACGATATATCATGATTTATATTCCTTATTCTACCACGACCAAAATTAGAGTATGAGAACAACATACTCAAATAATGGTTTGCATCATGGTATACTTGTTTATTTAATTTTTGGAGTAGGTTGAAACCAATTATAAAGTTAGAGATAAAAGGCATAATTGATAAATTTTGGTATCCACAATACAAGCATGCACCATTTTCCATTCATGTTTAAAGATATGAATGTGAGAGAAATTGACGGTACACAATGAAAGCTCGAAAGTTAGCCACATAAATATTTGCAATGTTTAGTATTTGCACCTTATCTAATCTGCATGACTCGAGCAAAGAAAGGCGTTTATCTTGAATCCAGAGCATAATATACAAATGGAACAAATCTTTTGCATCAACTCCACCTTTAACAGGTCTGAAACAGAACACGAAGTGGAAATTAAATCATGCAAAGTCATAAGGAATGTGATAGCATTCGTGACAAGGAGTAAAATCATGAAAAAATTATTACTTAATATTCCATCTGGCAAGATCCCTCTGAAAGTCTGCAGTTGCGATGACAAGTTCTGCTACAGGAGGCGAAGGGCCTGTTGGAGGGCATGCAATGAGGAATGCCCGCAATCTACTGCAAAGTTCTGCACTGTATATGGCCGAGGAAAGATTGGGAAGATCTATGAAACTGAAGAGAGAGGGGGGGAAAAATTAGACAAATATTAGACATAAGACAACCAGCCCAGTGATTGTAATATTACAATCAACATAAAATGAGATTTAACAAGGCATTTATGACACAAACCAAATGCAACTCAAACAAATAACTAGGAAAATTCAAACATATAAATCATCTTGCATCAATGAAATAAGCTAAATCACATGCCACTCAAAAACATAAACACAAAAATATATATATATATATATATGAATATTAGTATATAGCTGACGAATTTTGCTTAAGCTTCAAATATTGTTCACATGATGAGAATATGAAGAAAATTTACCTTGGAAGTACATGTTGATTGTGGATCTCTATATCAGTGAAAATTTCATTCCTGATATTCAAACAAAGGGATTTCATCTTTTGATAAGCAGTGGAAATGGTAACAGAATCCATCAAAATGCCTTCATTGTTGCTGGAAACAAACTCATCCATCTCAGTCAAGTACCTTCTCGATCTCTTTTTCGCAGCAGCCTGGTAAAACACAACCCATTGTTGTCAAATTGCAAATTGAATAGTGAATTGAGAATTGTACCAAATCGTGAATAGTAAGATTCACTTTATTTAGCATAATATATAACTTTACACATGTATATATATATATATATGAGTTTTGTGAAAATGGAGCTGTTTCATGTATTATGCAAACACAACTGAATCGCAAGGATCGTATTGATGGAATTAAATCGAATGATTCACTCAATTTAAGATTCAACAATATGAATGAATCATTTTGGTTGAAATTCATATCAAATCATATGAATCGAATCGTGAATCGTAAGATTCTAACCATATACACAACTACTTACTAAAACAATGAATGCAGCTTTAAACCAGCATTATTATATACATCAGTTTCACAAACCTGAAAATAGCTGTACAGTTTAGTCTGCGCCTCAGGAGACAATATATCATGCAGAAGCGTAAACAGTTTCACAGCAGGCTCCAATACAGGCACCGCAAGCCCAGTTGCAGGCTTAAAAACATCCATAATTCCTGATGGTGCCGACTCATCCAAAGATTTATAGTTCTCAAAAACCAGAGCAAGAATCTGGCTTATTTGATCCTCAATTTCTCCTAACATTCGATTCTAGTGAACAGATATGAAAATGTGTAACATCAGCAGACATATTAGTTTTATGTATAAAGAAAGAGAAAGAATTGTGTATTGAAATGTTGTATTGAATGTTATTATTACAAATGGTAAGGGGCTCCTTACATAGGAGAAGATTACAAACAATGCACCCAAAAGCAACCGAAAGCAAAGACATCATGATTACAGCTTGGACACTTTACAGCTAATAACACTATGCACTAATATATATTACATATAATATACTAACAACCCCCCTCAAACTCAAGGAGGATAGGAACCAACTTGAGTTTGGAGAGAGTAACAAAATAAGAAAATGAATTGATAAATAAAAGTAAAATAAGATAAGAGACACTGTATGGTCGTGTCAGACCGTTGGTGAAGACACTGTATGGTCGTGTCGGACCGTTGTAGCAGGACAGTTTACGAGGTCATGCCGGACCGATGTAGAAGCTAACCGGAATCAATGTCGGGACAGTTTACGGGGTCATGCCGGACCGTTGTAGAAACTGACCGGAATCAATGTCGGGACAGTTTACGGGGTCATGCCGGACCGCTGTAGAAGCTGACCAGAATCAATGTCGGGACAGTTTACGGGGTCATGCCGGACCGTTGTAGAAGCTGACCGGAATCAATGTCGGGACAGTTTACAGGGTCATGCCGGACCGTTGTAAAAGATTGTGGTGGTGCACCAAGGGGGCGACTTAGGGAGTGCGCCATGAGGTGGCTTGAGTGATTTCCATGGTGTATAACCATGCTCACCAGCTTGAGTGGTTCGCATGGTGTGTGACCATGCTCACCATGATATATGTATAACCCCCCTCAAACTCAAATAGGTGTGAAGATAGAAACCTATTTGAGGGTGAAACAAAGGGATTGAGAAAGTGGAGCAGAATGGCTCAAAAAAAAAAAAAAAAATGGTTGAAGTTTTTTTTTTTTTTTTTAAACAAAACCGTGGCCCAGGAAGACACCAAAACCCACGTGAATCACTTCTGCAGAAACAACATCAACATCTAGCTAATTGGTCCCACGTGAGACTTGATCCACGCATACCAATGCTTACTTTTTGCTTACAAAACCAGCTGGATATATAATGGCCAATATAATATATCATACTATAACAATATAATATATTATAGTGAGGAAGTGGGTCTAGTGGAGAGAAAGGGACCAGAGAGAGAGAGAGATTGGGGAAAAAGAAATGCAACAGTTTGATTTCATGTAATCGAAGCACCACATAAGAAAAGCAAAAAAAGAAAGAAAGAGAAGATTGGTTTAAAAATAAAAAAAAGGGGTATGGGTATGTGCAAAAGGTGGTGGATGATGGGTTGGAAAATGGTCAAAGTGGTGGGTGTCCTCGAGGAGAGAGAGAGAGAGAGAGAGAGAACCCGTGCATGTCTGTATGCATGTGTCTGGGTGTCTTGCTGCCGTGTGTGCCTGTGTATACATGTGCTGTGTATGAGTGTGTAGGTCAAACAAAACAATTTGATCAGCCTCTCATGACTAGGGAGGACTGAGAGTGAGATATAGAGAGAGTGTGTGGGTATGGGTGTGTACCGTGGTGTGGAAGGAGCTCAATGTGTGTCTGTGTGAGAGTTGTCAATGGTGTGCATGTGTTGTGTGTGTGCCGTGTGTGATGCGGGAAGAGAACCAGCCCTGGGAGAAGAGACAGATCAGTGCATGTTGTGTGTCAAATTAGGGGGGCTGAGGAGGGATTGGACTAGAGTGGAGAGACCGACACGGCGGCTGAAGGAGGCGGCCGGAGAGGATTTTCCGGCGAGCCGGTTATCGGAGGAGGTGGGTTCGGAGAGGAGAGGTGATGATTTGATGTAGTTGGAGGAGGGCATGATGTGTTTGGTGGTTTTGAAGGAACTAGTTCTGGGAAGGGTGGTGAGTAGTTCATGTTTCATGGTATAGAGAGAGAGATTTTTGGTTTTCTTGAGTTTGATAGTGTGATACATCAATCCCAGATGTGTAAAATTGGATAATCAAATCATGATTGAGTGTGCTGAAGAGGGTTACACCAGCCGCCATTGTCGTTGGGTAGTGCGTAGTTGGGAAGGCAGAAGTTGGTGGAGGTGACCAAGATGGATGATGGTGATGATGCTGTGATCTTGAAGGTGAATTTTGAATTGGGTTTAGTGAAGTAGTGGTAGTACTGAAGAGAAGAAATGGTGGTTGTTGTAGCCATAGCCATGATCGTTATGATGAGCGGAGTTCTGCCATGGAATTTGTTAGAAACTACTGCAGCAACAGCAACAACAACAGCATCATAAGAGTGCTGCATGTGTGGAGATTTTGGTCTCTCTCATGAACTCTTCAACTGCAAAGTCTGCCTATTTAGATCTCAGCACTGGTACTGTAGCAATCTGTATCCAAAAGCTGAGTCATACCAAGTCTGCAATTGGTGCCTGAGTCAAAGGTATGACACAACAAAGAAAACAAACTCTTCCAATTCAACATCATCTGGTAGGAACAACTGCAACGAAGATGATCAACTGATCATCAACAACAACAAGATCAAGATCAAGATCAAGAAGAATAATTTGTGGCAGCGGATTGAAGGTATGTGTAGAGGTCCGGCCGGCGGCCAAGGCGAGACTGCCGCCCGCCGGTGAAGCAGAATGACTAGGTTGTTAACCTAGCTCTGATACCATATTAGTTTTATGTATAAAGAAAGAGAAAGAATTGTGTATTGAAATGTTGTATTGAATGTTATTATTACAAATGGTAAGGGACTCCTTACATAGGAGAAGATTACAAACAATGCACCCAAAAGCAACCGAAAGCAAAGACATCATGATTACAGCTTGGACACTTTACAGCTAATAACACTATGCACTAATATATATTACATATAATATACTAACAAGAAGCAGGAACAATTCAATAATAGAAAAAAAGCAAGTCAGAAATTAAAGGTTTTTTTTTTTTTTTTTTTCATAACAACCAAAGCAAGTAGGAAGAAGTGCCATATACACACTGACTAAGTAGCAAAGACATGGCCATGTGACACGACACGGACACGCCGACACGGTGATTTTCAGAAAATGCATGACACAATACGCCTTGGGACAAAAAATTATAGTTTTATTCAAAGGTAATGAAAAAGCAACATAATACTAATTAAAAATAAAAAAAATAAATAAAAAATCATATATTTTATAATTTAAACATCAAAATACCATTCATGAAACAATTGCATTATAAAGAATGCAAAACTACTGTAAAACATTAAAATACATATGATGTATTCATCTTATAAATGTTTTAAAACATATTTAGAGTACAAAAGTTGCATTCCGAAGAATGCAAAACAATTAATGTGTTTGGTTTGAGCTTTTTGAATTAATTTTTTTGAAAACTGAGTTTTTTGGTTTTCGTGTTTTTTTGTTTTTAGTGAATATTTTTAAAATTTTAAACATTTTTTTACGTTTTTAGATGCACCTTACTTAGATGTATCTAAAAAGTAAAAAAAATTTGAAAAAATATTTTTAAAAATTAATAAATACATAAAAATACAAAAGATGTACTGAATTCTCATATTTTTTTTTGTATTTTTGGTATTTAGTGAATTTTTAAAATATTTTTTTCATTTTTTTTTACTTTTTAGGTATATTTATGTTAGGTATGTCTAAAAATTAAAAAAATTGCTCAAAATATTAAAAAAATTTAGTAAAAACAAAAAAACACGGAAAATAAAAAAGTAAAATTTTCTGAAAAGTGTTTTTAAAAAATGGTAACCAAGCATATAGAAATGAAAAGATTCATCATATAGATCATGTTCAAAGAGTTCGCTGAAGTGTCCAATTTATATTTTAACATTTTAATTAAGATACGTTGAAACATCAAGATACCATTCATGAAACAATTGCATTATAAAGAATGCAAAACTACTGTAAAACATTAAAATACACAAGATGTATTCATCTTATAAACGTTTTAAAACATATTTAGAGTACAAAAGTTGCATTCCGAAGAATGCAAAACAATTAATGTGTTTGGTTTGAGTTTTTTGAATTAAGTTTTTTGAAAACTGAGTTTTTTGATTTTCGTGTTTTTTTGTTTTTAGTGAATATTTTTAAAATTTTAAACATTTTTTTTTACGTTTTTAGATGCACCTTACTTAGATGTATCTAAAAAGTAAAAAAAATTTGAAAAAATATTTTTAAAAATTAATAAATACATAAAAATACAAAAGATGTACTGAATTATCGTATTTTTTTTTTGTATTTTTGGTATTTATTGAATTTTTAAAAGATTTTTTTCATTTTTTTTTTACTTTTTAGGTATATTTATGTTAGGTATGTCTAAAAATTAAAAAAAATGCTCAAAATATTAAAAAAGTTCAGTAAAAACAAAAAAACACGGAAAATAAAAAAGTAGAATTTTCTAAAAAGTGTTTTTGAAAAATGGTAACCAAGCATATAGAAATGAAAAGATTCATCACATAGATCATGTTCAAAGAGTTCGCTGGAGTGTCCAATTTATATTTTAACATTTTAATTAAGATACGTTGAAAAAGTGTCGGTCATACTTTTAGGAGTGTCTATAGAGTGTCGTGTCCAACACGGCACCTCCTTCATAGAAGTGTTTGTGCTTCTTAGCACACTAGTAACAATAACAATAATTAGTTGTAGTAGCAGTAACAATAATACCAGTATTAGCAGTAGCAGCAGTAGGTTGTAATATTAAGTACACAAATAACAATTTCAAACTGAAATTTTAGCCGTACCTCTTGATGACTTAACATGATTTTATTGTGGCCCTTCATAACTACAGGGTATAAATGATCATATACCAGTGTGAGACAATCGGCAGTGGGCGTGGCCACATCCATGACATATGAAAGGTATCTACAAACATTCATCAGAGTGATATAACCACGGAAGGAAATTCATTGAGGAACAAAGAAGTAGTTATAAGATGATGTATTCCATAGCCTTTTTTGGTAGAAAGGAGCGAATACCTTAGCCTAGTGTATGCATCTGAAACCCCATAATAGGATGCAAATTCATTTAGTAACCATTTCCATGGGCCATGCAACAATAAATTTCTTTGTTGAAAATGCTGAACTTTCATTGCAACTTCTAATACCAGGTCATATGCCACGGTTTCTGCAACAGAGCCACACTGCCAAACAGAGAACAGTCGAAATCATAATCTTTTAGGGAGACACAACTTTGCCAAATTTGAACAACAAAGGTAATACAATTATTCCATTCAAAAAGACGAAAGATGCATATTAATAAAAATAAGATCAGCAACAAAACAATGTATGTATATATATATTAAGCTGACTTTTAATAAGACGTTGTGTCTAATAACAAGAGGGTATACGTTTGATTCTTTCGGCTGTGTTTGGATCTTCGATTTGGGCAGGGATTTGTGGAGGGAAAAGAAAAGGGTAGCTCATAATTTCATTCACCTTTCCCGACACTTTTCTTTTCCCTCTGCAAATCTTACCCAATTTCAAGATCCAATAACAGCCTTCAACACATGAAAATCAAAGTCACCACTCAAATTCAAGTACTTAAAGCATTGCATTATTGTTAATATATCTAAATGTTGTTGAGCTGAGTTCTCCATTCAAGTCTCTTAAACTGAAAATTTGATTTGATCAGACGTTATACTATAGTGTGTACGGTGGCGCACCTTAAGATGGTTATTTTCATCTAAACTTGTTGAGTAATTTATATAGAGTTGTAGTCTTCCAACAAGCTCATGCTCTGGCTCATGATAAATAGACCACCATCGTAGCTTGTCACCCTGCGGTGAAATTAAAATATAAGCCTCATTCATAGCAAAATAATCTTCTTTACCAGCTAATTCCAGGCTGAAGTGAGAATTTGGAGGACTTTACTGGATCTTCAGCAATAGTAGCCACTTGAGCAAGGGCACGACCATATTGCTTTCCCTTAGAATCCATGACTTCAATGATTAGATCATCTCCTAGGCTATCTGGAAAGCTGTAAAGTCGTCAATACCTTTCACAAACAAATCCATAGACGAAAAAAGATGCAGAATAGCAAGAGTACGTACAATACATGGGTTTCACCAGATCCAGGTTGCATTCGAATAGCATCCTCTTCACTTGAACTTTTCAGTCGTAAACAACAACAGTATGTTTCTGATGACAACAAAATCATCTGGTTAGAGAGGCATAACAATACACAATCAGCCATTCAATTGGCTCAACATGCCAAGATTCGAAACTAGTGTTACCAAAAAGCACTAACACCCTAGTGATTTATGTTTTCGAACGCATGTTTCAAAACGCGGTATACTTTCATTCTAAAACGGCGAATTTAACAATCCAAAGCGATCCATATATTTTTTTTCATTATAAGTACTCCTTAATCGGGAAAAAGTTAATACAATAAACTAAAATCTAGATGGAGTGGTGTTTTGGATTGACAAAATGTAAAATAATTGGTCATAATGCTCATAGAACTGTGTTATTAAACAATTAGTTTGAAAGAAAAAAAAAAAAAAAATACACTATCATATATTGGATGTCAAAGTAAAAACTCTATCCCTATCGTACCACATTTTAGAGCATGTGGCGTACCACTTTCCTATTCTCATTCCTCATACCAGAAAAATCTGATTTCTATGTAACATCGTTCGAAACAATAAGCAGTTAACTACATGGACCACCTCATGCAAAAAAATTCACTGATTTCAACACCACATGCCTATTCATTATCTAGCAAAGTGACCAATGTCCTATCAAGATGGACACCAATGGTTTCCAAACTATAGAAACTCAAGCCCCTACAACTACAAAATGTTCAGGATACATAAATTTGTAATTCATGGTATCTGATCGCTCAAAATGTCAAACCGTCTGTAAACAGAGATCAGATGAATAATAGCTTTGTATTCAAACTTCTAGTAAAGCAAAGAGTCCACTACCTTGCACAGCTTCATAAGATGAACTGCTGCGCAATGTTGTTACACCAATTTTCAAAAGTCCGGAGACCTGTTTCACATAATGAGTACTGGCCTGCACATAAGCGAAGCTCTGGCGTGAAAAAGAACCATTTGGAGGCACACGAGGAACAAAACAAATTTTCTGAAGTGCTTGCCACCCAGAAGATAGTGTTGACCGTAGACTGTAAAAGCGATTTCGGACAAACTCCATTTTTATATTTGGTCTTGGAATGGAAGAAAAACTGCATCCTGTGGGTGGGTCCAGAGCCATTTTCACCCTACGAACTGCACAATGGACAAAAGCTTCAGAACAGTTCGTTACACTTTTCAACCATTGTCAACATCTAAGTTTGGAAATGAAAAGCTACCTTGAACCTTCATCTTCCCAACCATTTTCTTCGGTTTTCGGGCAGTTCCCTCACTGGCATGCTCAGACGAGCGCTTCACCAATAATTCCTCCTCTGATTGTAATAGCACTTGCTGCAAACTGAAGTGCAAAAGGACATTGAAGGACTGGAGTTGAAATAATTTTAAATTTATTGATGTTATCCCCCTCATCATACAATTTTTAAAAATTTCAGAGATTGTCCCCCTCACTATAGCAATCATACACTCATTTATTTTCAAGATCAAAAAGCACATACACTAACAAAGAAAACATTATATTTTAGTACTACACTGCTGAAACATGTTCACATGAAATTGGAACTTTAATGAGCACTGTTAAGTTTTGATGAATTTAACTAGTCCGCAACATTAGTTCAAAGAATTTACAACTTTGGATTTAAAGTAAAAAAAATATTTTCTATAACACAACATTTGCTAACAAGCAAACATACCGTATTAAGGATATAATTGAGGCAAGGCAAATAGAAAATGTTTTATACTCCAGCAGATCTCATTGAGCACAATTTTTTCCCCATAAGTGTTGCAATCTTGGTAACTTCAAAATATATTCCACAAATATTGTCCATTTTTGCTTTCTCCTTGTAGCTTAATATAATTATTTAGCTTTTGGTTCTGACAGATTCATCAAATTACTTCAAACAGCAGTTCTCTTCAAGTAAGAACTTAAGATTAACATCATTGTAATGCTCTCTTCTTCTTTTTTTTTTATGAAGTGCTTTAACAAGTATATTTCCAGTAGAAAAATGCAACAGAAGGCCCAATACAAATGATGGCACAGTAGAAAAAGTCACCTAAATGTGTCTCGCAGCAGAGCACATTCATTTTCCAAAAACATGGGAGCTTCCATGCATTGCTTCGCCCAAGCATGAAGGCACAACCGAACACAAGCGTCATACGCAATCACAGCGTGCCACGGCCCTTGAGTGCTGAATTTGATTAATAGAGCATATAAGTACAGCTGAAAATCAAAATAATAAACAATGCATATGCAAAAGGCTAACATATTTAAGCTTATCTCCATCTACAGTCAGCAAGAAATACCTGGCATGAAAAGTTGGAAGGCGCGCAGGGACTAAACCTGAGGGTGCACCACTTTCTATACCAGAAGCACTCCTGTGAAACAAACATAACATCTTCATCCAAATTACAGCAACTAGTAGTTGAGCACATGCAATGTGTGTGTAGAAATATAAGACAATTGTAACCGTCAAATGGAAAAGGACATTCGAATGTAGATGGAGAATAAAAATATAAAAAAATTAAATTAAATTTTGAAATAAGAATCTTGAGCAGTTATATATGCGCAATTTGGGTATCAAAAAATGTGTGACATAAATCACACCAAGTGAGTTGTGTGCTTTATATGATACTATATATATATAAATAGAAGATAAAATAGATGTGGTAGTGAAAGCATACAAACATGGCACATCTCACAAAAATTATTACATAAGGTTTCTGCAAAAGTACAGTAAAACATTTTACAAACCTCACATGCTGGTCAGGAATCTTTTTTTCAGTATTATCCTCTGGTTCAACCCGAGGAGAAACGCTATCAGAAGCATCTGGGCCATTTTTAGCCAAAAAATCATGTGAATATGGTACATAAGGTTTGTATTGTGCTCTAGAAGTTGGAAGTTGTTCAGCATCTTCCTTGATTTCCCTGGAAGAACCACAAAATAGAGGTGCACTGGGAATATCATCGTCAGAAAACTTTTCATTTGGCAAATTTCTGACACGAGAATCCTGCAAAATAATGGTTGTCTTAACAAAAAGTTATTTACATTTGAAGTGAACCATGCTAATACAGAGGCTGCAGAAAACGAGTAGCAAAAAAAATGATTCACAAAAATCATAATTTTATGATAGAAGAAAGAGTTCCAATATCATGGACAATTATATGACATAATCATTGAAACCTTGGTAGTAGAAACAAGACCCTGAAATCAAATTTATGCTTCACATGAATACTTCAAAATGAGTGAACCAACTTATAGAACACAACATGTGTATCATGTATGCTGCTTGCTGAGGATTAGTTTGCAGAATGTGTATAATTGATGGCAGAACTTGTTCCTCTTGCACAATTTTTACATCAAAACACATAAAATCCTTTCACTGGAGATGCTATCATGTGTTGACCAAAGGGAGAGAGGGATGGTGTCACCTGTAATGTAGATAAATTTAGAGGTTTCCCATTTCACAGCCCATGTGTGCACACCCAAGACCAACACACTCAGACAGGGCTTCTCTCTCTTTTTTCCTTGCCCCCCCGACATACATAGATATCTATTGTTAGAATTTACCTTCACCTACACCACTATCACCTCACCTACTCCACTAAACCTAACCCACTACACCACTACCACCTCCACTTCACCTACACCACTACCACCTCCACTTCACCTACTACACCTATATCTCCTATATAAGGAGCCTCTCACATTTGTACTAAATGTATCTATCAATAAATCAATAACAATCTTGTAATTCATCAATCAATAATACATCAGTTTATTTTACATCTATTGAACTCATACCTCTTTTCTTCAATTAGTAAATTATATCCATACAGATGCTTTCTTTTCGATTCTAAACGATTAGGGAAATTTATTTTAGGGACCAAATCAAAGCATTAATAGATTGAGCATATCCAACAGGTGAGCCCCTGACTAGGTCATTGTGATAAATTCAATGACTTCTAAGCAAGAATTCATGCTAGTCCGGAAGGATAGTTCTAACCTAAAAGAAAAATGATAATTCGGAAGAATAGCTCTAACCTATGAGCGAGAATTCAGCTGCATTAGGAGGAAAAATGATATGCTAGTCAGGAAGGATAGTTCTAACCTATAAACCCATTACTTCCAAAAAGACAGATAATCTAGAAAAGACAAGTTATGAAAGACATGACTGGTATGCAATCAAATCAGAACGCCATAATTAACCATTAGACTCAGTTCATCTCAGTTTCAACAGTCGAGGGAACTCAAAGAACAGGTAATAGTTCCACCACTACTAATTCTTTGGAGATTTCACATTTGGATTTCAAGAATGCATGAATAGAAGAACTACACTTAACAGATGAATTTGAAATTTTCAGAAGCTTCAATTCTTGGGCCGTGAGAAGGAACTATCACACAATAAACTCTTAAAAGTTCTCTACTATATTACGCCACCACACTCCCCTTACAAACTCCTGGGACATTTATTATCCTCAAGATGTAAAATTATTGCTAATTTTGCAAAGTTCAACTAAATAGGCTAGATTACAGTCACATTATCTACCAAATTACACATATACAGTTACAGAAAAGGGAAAAATCTACCAATGATTTATATGTACTAATGTTTTCATTTTATCAGTTAGTGTCTTCCATAAAATTGAACAACATTGCTCAACACATAGTCATTGGAGTGGAAGCCTAAAATGTACCATGCACTCTCAGATTTCCAAAAACGCATTTATACCAATACCAACAGCACCCTAGTCAGATTTCCAAACCACATCTACACCAATACCAAAAGCCTGAAGAGGTGTAAAAGAACAATTTACATTATCATTTCAATCACAAGAGTTTCTAATTAAAAATAAGTGCTGATTAATCAGTCATTGTCAAGATGTCGTGTGTGCTCGTGCGTGCATGTGTGGAATTTAAGAAATACATCACAACTTAAAGTCCAACCCAAGATTAATTAGTGATCGTCTAGATGTTGTATGCGTATAAAATTTAGGAGTTACATAACGACTTCAAAAAAAAACAAACAAACAAACAAACTGGATTTTAAGCAGAACATACCTTTTCTGCAGCACTTTCCACATTCGTCCGAGAAGGAACATTCGATGCATACCCCTCTGAAACATACTCTCTCGCACGAGTCCCTCCCACAGTGTCGCCACCCACTTGTGTGCTTGAAAATTCAGAACTTGCAGCAGAATCAGAGATATCATCCTCACTATAACCATTCCTTCCAACCGGGTATCTATTAGCTCCCCTCATCAATCTCTCTGCCACATTTCCATTCCCTCTCCCAATTGTTTCCCTCGACGAACTAACGTCTCCTGAGTACACAGAATCACTGGCATACCGGGTTTGCCTCTGTGCAGAATTATAGTATCTTTTTGAAGCAGCATTAGTATGATCTCCGTCATCTTGTGGTGACGAAGAATCAAGCGAGTATCTTCCACCGTAGGTCTGCTCTGAATCAGTGGTTAGATCATTGTCAGAAGCAGACCCAATATCATCAACATCAGTGGGTAAAGCTCTTGAAACTGGAATTACACCAGATAAATGCCCACATCGGAATTTTGACGGTGAAGGTAACCCAAAACCTCGATCGCCGCCACTTTGGGCGTTAGAAAGAGGATCAATTCGTCGTCGTAGATTTGAAACTGAGTAAGGAACTTCCTCCTTCTGATTAACAGAACCCTGAATTTTATTCTATAAATCAACAAAAACCACCCATTCTACAGTACAAAATGAACATTAAAAGATTTGTAGAATTGCCACAATTAAACCCTCAAGAATGCAAAAAATCAACCAATACCCACATCACAGATTCACAAACTATAAATATGTGTGTGTTTGTGTGGGCATATAATATATAAGAAGTGAAAGAAGAATTTGAAATTTGAAACTTAGTAAGGAACTTCCTTCCTTCTTCTGATTAACAGAACCCCGAATTTTATGCTATTAATCAACAAAAAACTCATTCTACATTACAAAATGAACAATCAAACTTTCGTAGAATTGACAGAATTTAATTAAACCCTCAAGAAAGAAGGCAAATCAACCAATACCCATATCACAAATTCAAAAACATACACACACACACACAGAGTATATATAAGAAGTGAAAGAAGGTAACCTTTCTGACCCATCGAAGAGCATTGTTGTTGTCAAGTCCATCAGTGAACATTTTGCTTGGGGTTAATTCTATCTATCTATAAAACAGCACTAAACTAGCATGCTAAACCCACTTCAGATATTCAAGTAAAGGTCAGTTTTCTACACAAATCCAAGCATAGAAGCTGAAGCAGAGTATTGTAGCCAAAATGAAAGAAGAACAATGTGAAGTTTCAGAGAGAGAGAGAGAGAGAGAGAGAGAGAGAGTAGTGACTAAGTGAGTGAGTAGAAGGGAAGATTTTAAGAAGGGAAGATTTTAAGAAGGAAAAAAAAAAGGTCGCGAGACCCCAGAAAACCACCCCCTTTTTGATTCAGCTCTGTGAGAGAACTGCCAAGAAGAACCAACCCAAAAGGTTCTGCTGCAAATTTGGGTGCCTCTCTCTCTCTCTCTCTCTCTCTCTCTACAGTTTTTTTTTTTTTGAAAAATTCGTTTTTCAAATTTAACAATTGATGAGTGTTTTTTTTTTTGGCGTAACGTCTGTTGGTGGGATTTTTCGGTACAAAACGATGTCGTGGAGAACATGGTATTAAGGTGTTTTTTTTTTGGCGTAATGTCTGTTGGTGGGATTTTTCGGTACAAAACGATGTCGTGGAGAACATGGTATTAAGGATACGATGTCGTGTTGGTGTGCCAAGAATATAGATGTCAACCACGATTGAAGGTAATAAAAAGTGCCAAGAATATAGATGTCAACCACGATTGAGACTTTCAATTTTTATAACTCTGAAAGTGATTTGAATTGCTCACGTGAGAGAGTTAGGGAAAAAAAAATACATAAGTGATTTAAATTATTTTAGAATTATGAAAGTTTCCAAATCATACGTTTCAATCATTTTTGTATAAATATTAATTGATAAAGGGATGTTTAGCAATGGTTTTTTTTAAAACTTTGTAGGTTAAAATTCATAAAATGATCAAATATGTTAAAATAGTCAATCAAATAAAATGTCACATCAAATTCATAATAATTTTATTTTTTCTCTTATAAATATCATATCTAATTATAAAAAAAATAAAAATATCTTTTCAAATATAAAAATTTTAATCTATTAAAATAGTCAAAAATTAAAATAACCTATTAAAATAACAACTTCTCAAACGCAGCCAAAATTCTAATATAAAAATAATAGATTCTGCGGTTGCACCACCAATAGTTACCAATTTATGATACTAGGGGTCGCCATGGTCCGGTGGCCTATCCAATCCAATCCTATTTAGTTAACTTTTTTTTATTTTTTTAAAAAATATTTTTCAAAAAATTCTACTTTTGATTTTTCATATTTTTTTATTTTTACTGAATTTTTTTAATATTTTAAACAAATTTTTTTACTTTTTAGACACGCCTAACATAAATATAAACCATTTCTCTCTCCCGGCTAAAAGTTCCATTCAAAAAGTGGGAGACGAATTGTTAGGCCCGGAACCTTTTTCTTTTTTTTTTTTTGATGATTTATAACGTTTTCTGTTTTCATTTCCAGTTTGTTTTAAACAAAATATTTTATTTATAAATTAATTTTCATTAAATTGACTCTCACCCACCATAACCAATCGCGAGGGAAGCGATTAAGGCGTTGGTCGCCTTAGGTCTTGTTTGTCATCCCATAAAAAAGTTAAAAATTTAAAAAGTTATTGTCTTATTTAAGTCACATTATCTTATTTAAATCAAATTATTTCTCTACCACATCATTTCAAACTCAACTTATATTTCATAAAAAGTCAAAAAGTACACTTATTTAGAATACCCGAAGGAACCCTTTAGTCTAAACCAGAGATGTATATCATGTCACTACAAGAAAATACACATTTGGCGGCTAAATTTTTAGTCGCCAAAATTCGGATTTTGGGTTTTCCCGACTAAATTTTTTAGTCGCCATGTTTGTCGCTGGAAAACTGTCGCGGAAGGTATAGGCGACGAACCCACTTTTGGTCGCCAAAAACAAACTCTGTAGCGACTAAAATTTTCGTCGCCAAAGCTCATTTATATTTTTTAAATTATACATTTGGCGACTAAAATTTTAGTCGCCAATAGTAAATTTTTTTTTTTAATTTATACATTTGCTGACTATTTTTTTCGTCGCCAATACTAAAGCTTTTGGCGACCACCTATTTTAGTCGCCAAAAGCATATTTAAAAAAAAAAAAATTTGAACCTGTGTTGCTCGCAGGTTTCAAACCTGAGACATCCCACCACCACATTCCAAATCTTTTGCCAAACACTCCCTCCACTATGCCACAACATCATCACATTAATATATATGCAATATATATTATTTATATATATATATTAACCACTATTAATACAAAATAATATTTATAAATATAATTTTTTTAATTCAAATATAATTTATGTAAAAAATAAATTATTTACTAAAAAAAAATTTAGGCCACTTTTGGCGACTAAAACCATTATTTAGTCGCCAATTCTATTATTTTGGGCTACTAATTATTTTTTTGTCGCTAAAAAAAGAAGTTCCACTTAAAAATCTGCAGTTTTGGTGACGAAACCTATTTTTAGTCGCCAAAAACGTCCCCTTTTGGCTACTAAACTGAATTTTAGTCGCCAATACTCAGTTTTTAGCTAATAATTTTTTTTTTGTAGCAAAAAAGCTTCGCTTTCAGCGACCAATCTGTTTTTAGTCGGCAAAACACCTACAATTGGCGACCAATCTGCTTTTTAGTCGCCAAAACCATCACTTTTGGCTACTAAATTATTTTAGTCGCCAAAAACCGTCAATTTTGGCTACTAAACAACCTTTAGTCGCTAAAACCCCTACATTCGGCGACTAAACTGCCTTTTAGTCGCTAAAACCATTATATTCGGCGACTAAAGTCTTTTAGTCGGCAAAAGTGTTCAATTTTGGCAACTAATTCCATTTTAGTCGCCATTTCTACTACTTTCAGCGACGAAAAATGAAATTTTGGTCGCCAAAAACGCCTTTTCTTGTAGTGTGTCGTATTATTTCATAACTATTTTAATACTAGCTCAATTCATTTATTTTTATGTCATAGGATATTATTTTGATTCGTGTCTGATTGATATGTAATATGAAAATTTACTTTTAGTTAAAAAAGACTTAGCTAGTGTATGGCGATATTAATTTTTTTTCCATAAGCCACATTTTATAAAATTTATTCATACTAAATGAAATTATTCATAAAATGTTTGATTTAAATTCAATTGCATTTTTCTAATTTAAGAAATTATACCTTATTACTATATATATGTCCTATTATGTTGACTCTAAAATAGGTAACAAAAATTACATATCTTAAATAAAAAAAGCTCAATATAACAGTGATATCAATGATAAGGTATCACTATCTATTAGTTGTTTTTTTCTCTATGTATATATGGCAAGATGGTTAGTAGGATTCATCCCTCCCATATAGGTTTATTATTGATTGATGATATCATGTATTCTTGATAACATTGCATTACCGTTGTATTAAATTTTTACTTAGGTGAATCCATAGAAGCACAACATGATCTCTTCAATTGAATGTCTAACTAGAGATAATACAAAATCAACAACTAAATGATTGAGATATATTTGTTTTAAAAATAAATTTATTACCTATTTTTCAAAAATAAATATAATTCAATCATGTGATTATTAATTTGTATGAATAATTTGTTCAAAAAACTCTATAAGTGAAAGGATCTATTTACACAATACATCTATTCCCTTACACCCATTTTCTATGTACACCTTTTTCAAAATTCAAATTTTCCATTTTATCTCATTGCATCTTACATAATTCTAAAACAATCTTCATCCCTAACTTACTATCTTCATATTACATACACAAACATTTCAAGCCTTAACCATTACACTCATTTAATCACCATCTCTGACCACCAGCTCCACTTCTAACCACCACCATTTCAACCCTTTTATACCAACCACACAACTATCCCTCACAATCCTCTCCACTCCTCCCCCGACAACATTTCCCAAATCCAACTTCACAACCCTATAACCCTACAACCCTTCCTAAACCTAGTAACTACCACCTCACAATCATTTCTACCCTAGTGACCACCACCATGCAACCTTCCTTACGTCAACAAAGTAAAAGAAGAAGTTAGATTACCAAAGTCAAACCAATCGTCTTCAAGTTGCCCAATAAATGGCTAGTTTAGATCTAACCAACTGGAGTTAAACTAATATCCTATGTTCAATTTCTTGATGTCAAACATAAGGTGTTCTTGTTTGGAGACTAGTAACAAAATAAACTTGCGATGGTTATGAGAGAAGGATGAATGAGTGGGTGGTTCACTGGATAAGAATGAGTGGGTGGTTGGTAGAGGTGGAAGGGAATGAGTGATTCACGAGGGTGAAAAAAAATAGTTGGAGTGGTTCGTAATGGTTCTGAGAATGAAAATGATGACAACGATTGGATAAGGGAATGTTGGAACAATCTTCTATGTAAAAAATAAATTGAAACCAAATCAAACAAATAAAATAAATAACTTACAGAATTTATTTTACCGAACCAAATGAATAATAAAAAGATCAAGTCAAGTGTATGACACTCTATCCTTAAGACAGATTTGCCCGCTACGGTGCTTACGGTTAAGTGGCGTCTATCTCTTAAGATACAATGATCTTCACAAATTGTAGAGCAGTCTAAAACAATTTGTATGGAGAACCAAACCTGTGTTCTATACTCTCAAAGTATTCCCTAAAATTAATATGAGGAATATATGCAACAGAGCAAAAATTGGACAGCAAGAAGAAGAATTTTTCTGTCAATTTTTTCGATCCAAAAGACTGCTGAAATGGATGGTATTTATAGGCATACAGATTTGTCCGAACAAGTGTTGTCTAGAACCAAATAGGTATGAAACTATTTGAACAGATATAATTCAAAATTCAAACAGAACTGCTGGTAATTGCTTACAATTTTGGATAGATAACTGCCCAGCAATTTGGATCTGTCCGGGTAGTTAAAACCCCTGTGAACAGTTGAATCTGTTAAAAATTTGAATGTATTGTGGACTGTAAATGACACAATTATGGATAGAAAATTTAAATTTAAATTCAAATTTGGAATTAAATTCCCACAATAATTTTTGAAAAAATTCAAATGAATTTTGTTCAAAAAATTAATATTAGAACCACTCGACCCACACTCGGCTCAGTCGGACAGTGGCGGGGCCGCATGCGTTTGTGGTGGTTTGAGCTAAGGTTCCTTTGTCTATAATTACTCCATTCTACAAACTTGGGGTTCCCCTTGGGGCCCAATCCAAGTTAGTACACCAAGAGCTTATATGCATATACAAGCTCTCTTAAAATTTCATTGTAGGACAAGCCTAATAAGGAAACGCACATTTAATTATTTAAATGTACATTCCACGAACCCGAAAACGATGTCAAGCTCTCGTTCACTCATAAATGGTTTTGA